GGCTGAGCCACTGAACCTGGCTGAGAAACATTTTTTATGTGTCCTAAAAATATTTTTCATAATTTGACTTTTACATTTTATTTTTATTTATGAGATATTTTTATAAGCAGAAGTTTTAAATTTTTATGTAATTGACTCTCTTCATCTTTGTCTGTATTTATTATTATTATTATTTTTTCTTGAGGCAGGTTCTCACTCCATTGCCCAGACCAGAATGCAGTGGCATGCTCGTTGCCACCCCACCATTGACCTGTTGAACTCAGGCAATCCTTCTGCTTCAGTCTTCCAAGTAGCTGGAACTACAGGCATACACCACCATGCCTGGCTATACCTTTGTCTTAAAAAAAAATTAAAAAAAAAAAAATAGAGATGAGGTCCAGGTGTGGTGGCTCATGCCTGTAAGCCCAGCACTTTGGGAGGCTGAGGTGAGAGGATCACTTGAGCCCAGGAGTTCAAGACCAGGCTGGGCAACATAGCGAGACCTCATCTCTACAAAAAACAATTAAAAAATTAGCCAAGCATGGTGGCGCATGCCTGTAGTTCCATCTACTTGGGAAGCTGAGGTAGAAGGAGCACCTGATCCCAGCAGGTCGAGGTTGCAGTGGCCATGATCATGCTACTGCATTCCAGCCTGGGTAACAGAGTGAGACCCAAATTCAAAATAAATACATAAAATAAAAATAAAAATAGAGACAAGGTCTCGCACTGTTGCCCAGGTTGATCTTGAAGTTCTGGGCTCAAGTTACCCTCCTTCCTTGGCCTCCCAAAATGCTGGGATTACAAGCATGAGCTATTAAACCCACTCTTAATCTTTTGACGATTTTCTTATTACTGTGCACAGAAGTGTATCTATTTGCTGCCAAATAGCCAATTATCTATATTTTCTTCTAAATATTTATGTAGTTTTTATTCTTATAATTTAATATTTAATTAACATGGAGTTCACTCTGTTCTTTTTTTTTTTTTTTTTTGAGTTAGAGTCTCACTCTGTCACCCAGACTGGAGTGTAGTGGCCATTTCTGGCCACTGAAGCCTCGACCTGCTGGGCTCTGGCAATCCTTCCGCCTCAGCCTTCCAAGTAGCTGAAACTACAGGCGCGCGCTACCACACCCGGCTAATTTTTGATTTATTGTAGAGATGAGGGTTCGCCAAGTTGCCAAGGCAGGTCTCGAACCCATGGGCTCAGGCAATCCACTCACCTCAGCCTCCCAAAGCGCTGGGATTGCAGACTGAGCCACCGAGCTGACTCATTCTGTTCTTAAAAGTAACTGGACAGTTGCTCCCAAGCCACATCATTGACCAGTATGCCCTTTTTTTATCCTCCCATCTCTCCAGGAGACTAATTTCCCTCCAGACCCGGACATTCACACTTGCTTTATGAATTAGAATTTGTGTTGGAGCATCTGCCTTTGTATTTTACAATTTGGAGCTAGCTTTTTTTTTTTTTTTGAGTAGGAGTCTCACTCTGTCACCCAGGCTGGAGGGCAGTGGACATGCTCTTGGCCACCGCAGCCTTGACCTGCTGGTCTCAGGTGATCCTTCTGCCTCAGCCTTCCAAGTAGCTGGAACTACAGGCACATGCCACCACGCCTGGCTAATTTTTTTATTTATTGTAGAGATGGGGATCTCACCGAGTTGCCAAGGCTGGTCTTGAACCCGTGGGCTCAGGCAATCCTCTCACCTTGGCCTCCCAAAGTGCTGGGATTATAGGAGTGAGCCACGCGACTCACCAACTTGGCGAGACCTCATCTCTACAATAAAAAAACCCTTTGGGTCCCCTCCCACTGAGAAAGCTTTTCTGTCCTCTCAATAAATCCTATTTTCTAAAAAAAAAAATCATGGCTGGGCTCAGTGGCTCAGTCATTAATTCCAGTACTTTGGGAGGCCAAGGTGAGTGGATTGCCTGAGGCCACGGGTTTGAGACCAGCCCAAGCAACTTGGCAAGACTCCCCCATCTCTACAATAAATAAAAAATTAGCCAGGTATGGTAGCACACGCCTGTAATTCTGGCCACTTGGAAGGGTGAGGCGGAAGGATCGCTGGGATCCAGAAGGTCAATGCTGAGGTGTCCGTGAGCATGTCTGGGTGACAGAGTGAGACTCTGACTCAAAAAATAATAAAATAAAATAAAAATCATTTAAAAAATAAGCCGAGCATGGTGGCACGTGCCTGTAGTTCCAGTTACTTGGAAGCCTGAGACAGAAGGATCGCCTGAGCCCAGCAAGTTGAGGCTGTGGTGGCTGTGAGCGTGCCACTGCACTCTAGCCTGGGTGACACAGTGAGACTTAACTAAAAAAAAAAATGTTTTATTTCTTTGTGTTGTTCTATTATATTGACTAAATTTCCCAAGCACTCTAAAATATGAGTGATGCTAGCATATTTTTTTCCAAGTTGGAGTCTCACTCAAATTATGAAAAATATTTTTAGTACACACAAAAAATGTTTCTCTGCCGGGCATGGTGACTCAAGCATGTAATTCCAGCACTTTGGGAGACTGAGGTGGGAGGATTGCCTGAGCCCAGGGGTTTGAGACCAGGCTGGGCACATGGTGAGACCTCATCTCTACAATACATCAAAAAATTAGAAGAGTGTGGTGGTGTGCACCTGTAGTCCCAGCTGCTTGGAAGGCTGAGGCAGAAGGATTGCCTGAGTCCAGAAGGTTGAGAGTGTAGTGTCACTACACTCCAGCCTGGGTGACAAAGTGAGATTCTGACTCAAAAAAAAAAAGAAAAGAAAAAAGAAATTGATCTGTGGGCTGGGTGCAGTAGCTCATGCTTGTAATTTTTTTTTTTTTTTTTGA